TAGAATTTAGCGATTTTCCTAAGGTAATCGATCGTTTAATCAGTATTAAAAGAATATTAAAATAATTCTAATTAATTAAGATGGAACATAGTGTGAACACGAAATGATGATGTTGCTATATTATCAAATAAATTATAAGCGATTATTTCTTATTAATGTTCCAGGGAGTGTCTATAAACAAAGAATATTTATCACTTGTGTCGCTAAGCACTGATCCACCGCAAGTTTGTCACGGTAATGGAGCAACAATAACCGCGAGCCGCAATCAAGCGGCTCTAAGGGCGCTTCGTACACTTAGTAAATTGGGACTTGATAATGCCTCGAACGCAGCACAAGTGAAGAAGGACAAAGGTGCGTCTGGTGATGGAATACACATTAGCATTCAAGTTAAAAATAACATTATGGATGGAGCTATCGATAAGTAACTGAGTAGCGCTTAAGACATATATAATGTTGAGTTATATTTATGCTTCTCCAGGACACCGCAAAAGGAAGTTAAATGAATTTTATTGTTACAAAGTTCTTTACAAAATTGATAACGTTAATTATTGTTCATTTATTGCCAGTTCATTTGTAGATATGATATTCCTCGACAGAGACTTTTTTCTTCGATTGCACCTCAAGACAGGGTCTCAGCCGCGGTTTTATTAACCATTTTTTTTACTAAATCCGATTTCTTTAAGAAATCTGATCTATTAAAAAAAACTCATTGTGTGAATCTTTTTTTCCAATATAATAATTTATATTGAAAAAAGTTGCTACACAATAATCTGGCTATATTTGTAATTGTAAAAATATATTTATATGTACCTCAGAAAAATTCGTCGATGAATTAAATAAAGCGTTGTGCATGATATAGATTTTTTTATTTTATATGTTTATTATTTATTGAATTGCTATATACTATTTACATTACTGAAATATGATATGAAAAATCAGATCGAATCTAAAGTTGAATCAGCTTATATAAAATTATTTAAAATAATCATCGAATAAATTTGAATCAATATATAAAATTATTTAAATTAGTTATTAGTATGTAAGAAATCTTCCTGAACTTTTGCAGTGTCCTAATTATATTGAAATGCCGTTCAAGCACCAATAAGCGATATGTATTTAATAATTATGTAAGAATTCTTTCGTTTAATGACTAGAAACGTCTGATTAGTCACAACAGACATTGATAAGTTTTTGTGACTATCGGCAATCTATTGTTATAAATCACGTACAATAGCGTATCATTGAACGATTCATATATTACAACTCTTGCAAAATTAATAATGCTATGGAATCGCAAGGGATTATTGGTGTTTGATCGTGATTGCGATCCTAGCAGTGATAAATATGTATAACTATTGTATTTATTGTAACACATTTTCATTGACAGGATCACAATATTACTATACTTATCTATGATGATTCAAAATGGTCATTCTCCAGTTAGGATCAATCTATAATATATAATGAACACTATAGGAAAATGTTAAGTAAAGCAACACGACCTGGAGATGAAATGCGACCATCTCTTAATTTTTCAATTGAATCTTAGCTTCCACACACTATCATGAATAAATATGTCTTGTCTAATTAATGATAAAGTTTTTCTTTTTCTTTTTTTTTTTTTAATTCTCGGCTATTCGAAATTGATTTTATATATTTTGTGTGTATATTTTGTCATCGCTTTATTTAAAGAAAAAAGTTTAAAATCTATTTCTATTAAGTCGCATGAAAATTATTCATAAAATCGCGTATTTTTCCAGAGTAAACTCTGGCTACGTGCGCTAGAGATACGAGCGTGTGAAAGATTAAGTAGTTAACATTTAAATTGATAAAACATACGTAATGCGATATACACTGTCCTTATGCCCCAATTTGCTTTTCTACGGGGGCCAGAAGCAACCTGGGGTTACATATTCATGTATCGTAAAATATTGAGAAATGAAGGAAAACAGAAATTTCCATACATCTGTCATTCGGGTAAGAAGTAATGATACGCTGTATAGGAAATTTCAGCGAATATAAAACGGAAAGAATAGAAATAGTAAGAAATAAAGAAATTTGTCCCGTTGCGTCAAGACTATTAAAGTTGTTTTAAATTGCGATAAAAAACACAGCCTGAAAACGGCGAATTTTGTCTGGTTGAGAAGCGAGGGGAATAGAAATTTCCGTACACCTATCGTTCGCAGGTAGACAGTAATGATACGTTGCGTCGGAAATTTCGATGAATCTAAAAAAGAGAAAAAAAAGAAGAGAAGGCAATAATTCAAAATTTGTCCCGTTGCATCCGGACTATTACGAAATTGTTTTAATTTTGCTGAGAAATAATCCTGAAAGAACGGTGAATTTTGTATTATTGTCGGGAAACGAGTAAGAATACTAGAGTGGAAAAAACTTAATAATGAATGAAGATAGACATTGAGAAACGGTATAAACTCTGAATATTCATGATATAACTTTTACTTTTTTATTTAAAGTTCTATGGGTCTCCATGTAAACTGATCGAACGTTGCCTTTTATGGTGTAACGACACAGAGTTTTGTACTGGCATTCTCAATCAAGCGACTTGCTATCTTCTATTCATTGCTCTTGTATTATATGCGATTTACTGAACAATAAATACAAGCGGTTTACATACGTTCTATAACGATTAATAAACTGTGTTATTGTTCATTAAAGTCGTGTGCATTTTTATTCATAATGCCCGATACTCGGTACATTGAAAATTTGTAAGAAATGTTCGCGTGGAAATGATGGATCTGTCCATTAAATGGAGGTTTGTTTGAGACATTTGCTGGAAAAAAATTATTTATTGACTCTTCGAGACTCTAGCTGGGTTTTGTTTTGCCGATCGCTTTTATAAGTGGGCCTTTCTTGTTCATGTGACATTCAGTATTACAAGACGCAGTGGTAGATTCCATCATATACATATAGTTTTTCAAGAGCTAAGCAAGATAAAGATTTAAATTAAATAATTTACGTCGCATACGCTGCAAGACAAAGAGAAAAATAACAACTTCACGTTATGAACTGTAATATCGTATAGTTAATATTAATATTAACGAATAGATAAGCGAATATAACGTATCAATTTACCGAGATACCGGAAACCGAAATCTTTCGACACTTTGAAGAGAGAAAAAAAACTCGCTCGTTCACATTGAGAAGTTCAATTGCGTTGTTCGGCTTGATATGCAAGGTGTTGAAGAAATATAAACTAATATGTCAACACTATCAGAAAAAAGAAGAAGAATGCGTAATATTAGTTTCATGCGTAATCTATATTTCGTTCCGTCATTTTGTTTTAATGCCATCGCACATACAACCGCTACGTTTGCTTACTTTCGGTTAGTATAAGGAAGATCAAGTGACCGCTGCAGTTTCATCATGTTACAACATTACTATGTAAAGCTTCTGTAAAATATACAACTAATTTTTCGCAATTTTTCAGTTGGCGGAATCACACTCTATAAACACACAATATTCCTAGGGTTTCACGTAATATTCATAACGTTCGTAAGTATTATTTCACCCTTGTTGTTACCAAATGTATGTTAAACAAGGATGAAATGATACACGCGAACGTTGTGAACGATAAGTTCACTCCTAGAATGTTACATGAATATTATTTACCCTTTATAATATTCATTCTAGGAATATTGTGTTTTATAGGGCAGTGCCGAGCGTGAGAGAAAATACCGTATACGATACCGTAATGTAGTTTCGATTATGTTAGATTTACATTTTAAATAAAACAATTTGTTTGTAACGATTTGCTGTAACGTACATATAAAACGCAATTGCGTAATGCGAGTTCTCGACAACATCTACCGAGAGAAATGATTGCTCCTTGAGTGAATGCGTCCTAACGATCGAGGAGATCATTCATACCGATGAAGCTTTAATTGCATTTTCGAAAGTGAATTGTACGACGTATAGGAATCTACTGCTTTCCTCTATCCGTATCAGTTTGTATTTGACGTTGATGAGAACGATTGTAGAAAGGTTTCACGTACATGTATATGGCCTTTTTATTGTGCGTTTCAAATATACGCATGACAAGGTGGCACACGAATACAAGAATATTTTATTTTATCTGTCCTTATTATTTCAGGTTTTTCGTTTGAATAAAATATCCTTTATCAAGTATCAGTTTAGTTGGTAAGTATTTTGTGAGATTTGATATACTTAAGATTTTAGTATGCACATTCTTAATTTGTTTAATTACTATAAAAATTTCATAGGGTACATCTTATTTTAATAAAACTTAAAATCTCACCGGTGATAATATTTCTCAGAATTATTTATACAATTTTTTCGAATTTTTATATAAATTTTAAAATTTTTGAATAATTTTATACTTTTTTAAAAAATTTCTTAGATACTTTATACAAATTAGAATTGCTGATAAAATCTATATTTTTATCTAAAATTTTTCATATATGTAAATTCTGAAATATTCTAAGATTTAAAAAACTCTTCATTCTCTCTCTATAATTTTTAATAAAATTTTATAAGATTTTAAAAAGTTTAGAACATTTTTTTCAGAAATCATAGAATGGAAATCTTATTGTATTTATATAATAAAAATTAATATTTCGAAATTTACATATATGAAAAATTCTAAGGCCTAGTTTTATCAATGTAAAATTAACTTTAATCTCGGTTTAATTAACTTATTATTTTTCTAATTTTAGAAAAAAATAAACAGTAGTTTTTTCTAATTCTGGAATTACAAAAAGATAAAAAGTAAATTAAACCGAAACTTTTTCGCGTTTCTGAAAAGTGTTTTAATTCATATAAAAAATTCTGAGAAAAATTATCCTAAATAAAAAAAATTTGTCTGAAAATTATAAATTAAAATATCTGAAACATACTTTATTACTTACTCTAACTGTAAGCTAAAAAATGAAGAATTTCTTCCTTATTGACGAGACAAAGAAATGGACATCGTAGTTCAACGGTTCGCCACGAAAAGTCTATCACTGCTTCGCAATGTATGAACTGCAATAGTATATTGGTCATTAGTTTAAATTGTTATAACCTTAAAAAATACAAAGGAATTATAATAAATGCAATCTAAATTAAATTTATATTTGAAATCTAATAATTTTAAGCTTGCTATTCTGAGGTCTGACGTCCAGGTTGAAGCTCCGGTTATGTTGATGTATTCGTACGAATATCGTGGAACAATGTATCGATCAAACAGTTATTAACGATTATAGGTTAGAATCGCTGCTAATATTTCGTAAGAAACAACTCGTGAAATGATGGATTTAGATGAATTAAAGTAAAACAATCGATGCACAAAGAAAATTTATTATTTCAAGTATAAGCATGAATTTCCTAAATCGTAACGTGTTTTCAGCTTGATCTTTTCTGTGCCGATGGTGCCTTGATTCCACTCCGGGATTTATTTAGTACAGTTTTATTAGCTTAAGATGGAAGAAGGTTAGCTGCGGTGTTTGGTCGACGCCGAGGAATCGGCCGAATTTATCACATTAATATATATTGCAGGCTTGACGAAAAAATAGAGAGGTAGCCTTGACTTGGTATAAGAAAATTGTCAGAGCAGTGGGATTCCAAACGAATCCGAAAATGTTCAAGAATACCTTCCAAAGTGGTTTTCTATCCATTCTGTATAGCATCGGCAGCAAGCCCCTACAAATCTGGGACAAGAAAGTGAGGAATGGACATATCAAGAGGATCACTGACAATGATATTCAAAGCCTTGTTTTGGAGATACTAGGCAGCAACGTTAGCACAACGTATATCACATGTCCTGCAGATCCAAGGAAGACTTTAGGCATAAAGTTGCCCTTTTTGGTAATGATTATCAAGAATCTAAAGAAGTATTTCACATTTGAGGTTCAGGTAAGGTTCTTGTACTAGTTTATAGAAAAATTAAGGGAAAAGTATTTAATTTAACTTGGAGACCCTAAACAAATCCAATACCTATTCATTATGAGTTGACTGTTCCTATAATCTGTGTCATTCTAAAAGAATATTTAATATATTTAAGAAATTTTATGAATTCTTTCATTCGTTAAATGCTCAATCTCTCTTTCCTAATATAAAAAAAATTTACACATTATAGATAATTGACGACAAAAATGTACGTCGCAGATTTCGTGCGAGTAATTATCAATCAACAACGAGAGTGAAACCATTCATATGTACAATGCCAATGAGACTGGACGATGGATGGAATCAAATACAATTCAATTTGGCTGACTTCACACGCCGTGCCTACGGAACGAATTATGTGGAAACACTGAGGGTCCAAATTCATGCTAATTGTAGGATACGGCGAGTGTACTTTTCGGATCGATTATACTCAGAGGATGAATTGCCAGCAGAATTTAAATTATTCTTGCCCATTCAAAATAAGGCAAAATGTTGATAATTAATGAAGAAAATGCGAGCATCTTTAGTAAAAGAAAAAAAGAGTTGTTCAATTGAAACTTTTTTTTTTAATTTGTTCGAATTACTTTCAAAATAAAAAATAATTTATTGAAGGCTGTCTTACCTTTATACGCTACTTAAACAATTGCAAGTAATATATTTAATAATATAATATTCATTAAGGTTAACTTTTACTTAATAGAATATAGATCATGCAATTTATGTATTAAGAATTATGTAATTTTGTCACTACATATGGAAAAAAGTATATACAGTGAGTGCAAAAGTATTTGTACAGAGAAAATAGTTTTAAAAAAACTTCATTTTTAAAAAGTAAATATTATCCAGCGAGAAATGAGTCAAATTGATGTTGAATCGATATCGATATGATGATTTCAACACCAAAAACATCGATTCGACGTTTAATTAACGATCATTTCTTACTGAATAATTAATAATTTATTCATGAATAATAAAATAGACTATGTTTCTTAAATTATATATATCAAAAAGATGTGTATTAATTATAGAACAGAATATATTCATTGTATAAAATTGCTAATTAATTTATTTTTTACAAATAAGACTTTTTATAAAAAATTTCTTTGTACGAATACTTTTTGCTCTCACTATGTATTTTCCTGTTTATATATTTTTGTTAAACTTCTACTTTTTCAAATAATCTCTAAAAAGTGGTTAAATTTATTGCGAATCAATACATTTATTTGTATGTCATCTTTGTTCATAAACTTTTCTTGGCCAAAGTTTCTTCGATATTTGTCATATTATATAATAACAATAATTCTATGTATATGTAAGTTCTTTATCCTGTAATTTTTCGAGAAGTTTCTTGTTCACAGAATAATTTATTGCTATAAAATTTGAGATTGCAAGTTTTATCCATCGTTAAATGCTTTGTCATTTCGTCCAAGTCTCATCTACTTTCTCGATTAGAGATGGAATGCATTTGTTTGTGGACACATTTTCATTTAAATTTTCAGCATCTTCCTCGATACTTGCTAAAGATTTTAAACGATTGGCGATACTTTTATCACTCTCTTTTACATATTTATACTTAGAACGAATATATCCATCGCTTGGACTAGATAAACATATTATTATTTATGTTGTCAAGCTTAATGTTTTCAGATAGATCGAGTTTAAAAGACGATGAAGGATAAAGTAGACCCATGGCATCTACTTTAAATTTTACTATCGTGGAATTATTTTTTTCTGTCTGTATTTTATTAGCATTATCATTTAACGTGCAGTTTGTTAAGTTAATGTATGTATCTCCTTCATTCTGAATTTTCTGCGGACGTTTTGAAATTCCATTATCTTTAAATAATATTTCATTGACATGTGTTTTCAGAAATTGACTCTCCATGATTATTTTTAATTCGAGAAGACACAGGTCGCGACGTATGATTATTAATTTTTATATTTAGTAGGAGTTTCCCGTCTTACGCGTTTTCATTGCATAATGTTGGTTTACTTTTTCTGTTATGTCACTACTATCTTTTTCTCTCTAATTTATTTTCTATAACTGGATCATTTTGTAGAGATTTTGTGAAGTATTCACTTCGTCTTGTAAAAACATCCCATTTTTTTATTGCACTGTTTAAAACATCTAGTGACATGTAATTCCTTTTTAATGTATCAGAATTGTATAAATTTAAGTTCATCGATAGATTACTTTCAAATTTTTCTATGTTGCCTGCGGTTTTACGTGAATCTACTTTTGTTAACGGTGTACTACTAAAATTATCCTTAATAAAACAATTCAAATCAGATTGCTCTAAAGGTCCTAAAAGCCAAAAAGAAATAAATATATGCTAATATATATATTTCACATTTTTTCGAAAATTTATAAACCTGTGTAACAATCTTCCGTTTGACAAGACTTTTCGATGAAATTGATTCCCTGTTTTAACATATACATATTGAAGAAAGCTTGATACAGCTCGATATGAGTTTCATCATTCTTGTAATGACGATCTTGCAGATACACTCTTCTTAAATGACAATTCGGATAGATCGTTACTCTTTGCAGAGCCTCGTAATCCGTCTTATACACTTGGTGACATAGAGTTTGAAGATTTATCTCTAAGAAATTCCAACAGTCATCCAATTTCAATGGAATACGAGCCACACTTGCATTGATGCGTGGTAGTCTTTCAATATTGTAAGTCATGAAGGAGAATCTTCTTCGATATTGTTGCTTATCTATTATCTTTACATGTATCAAAGGTAGAGAATCATTATTAAGATATTAAAAATAATACGGATATCTATCATAAAATTTAAAGAGCATATACTTGAACTTCCAGTTTGAACCGCAAGTTCAAATTTTTTATAACTAATACAAGAACAGGAAGTTTTATGTTCAGGATGTCTAGTGCTTTGGCAGGAGTAGTTATGCTCGTGGGAATCGTATTGTTGTGAGGCTCGGTGATCTCGATTACTTTATCTCCATGTAATAGGTCGTCGTTTATTCTATGAACTTTACCACCAAAGGATACATGTTTCGACCATAGATCCAGTGGCTTGTTAGCGACGCTGTACAACAGTGACATATATTTATAGATCTCATTCTTCGACATCTTTTCACGAGAGATATTAAGCCAGGAGTGTTAAGAGTAGATTCTGTCATAAATGTCTGTTATAAGTTTTCTCAACAGAGGCTATGGATGTGATGAATGTGATATTGATTCTGGCGTATTCAATGCTGTTGGCAGAATTTTAGCAGAGATATAGCAAATTATGTCAACAAAATATGACGACAAATCAAGCAGACTTTGGCATGTTGACGCTACACAGTTGACGCGAATTGCCGGCAAAAATGGAGCGGAATCTGCGGAATTAACGAACTCAGCTCGGCTTCTACTGTCAATCTACTGTCAGGTTATATCAGAATGCTCAAACCATGAATGGCCAAACTATGATATTTTGCTTAAAACGAGAGTAACGAGAGCTTAATGTGAATCAGTCAATGTTGATTTGTCAGCGATTTCTGATCATTCCCGATCAAATTCGCTGTCGGTCTACTGAACGATCCGCTTACCGGGGATAGAAGTATCGATATAGCATCTCCAAAAAGTATACCGCAATTTTTGAGTTTTTCCCGAATATTTCAACATGATCTTTCCTTTTTCCTACGGTAAAATGTGTATGTGGAAAACAACAAGAATTTGAAAATTGTTTCCATGATTTTTTTTTTATTCCGGAATCCGAAGAGAAACCCTTAGAGGTTATGTTCCTTCTCGTTCATCCGCATTTGTTTCTCTGCGCGTTATTTATCGCGATTATGACGAAAGTGGCAAGGGATAATAAATATTTTCGATAAACCGAAGTGCATTTTAGAATGGAATCTAAATTCAGAGCAATACATCGATAGTCATTTCCACAAGGAGAGAAATTATGAAAGGTAAATAATTAACTGTAATTAACGAGGTATATTTTTTAATGTTCTCTTATAATTTATCTTTCTTCTTTGTTACTGATTCATGCTAAAAAGAAAGCCGATTTAGCACAACTAATTCTTATTTTTTTTTTACCTTCTCTCGCAAACATTATTATAATTGAACATTATAATAATATCATATGCATATATACATTCGTTCTTTTCATATTGTTTATATTGACGTTTAATCAGTTTATTACATTTTACCGCTAATTATATTTATTACAGCATGTGTCGAAATACCGACGAAATAAGACGCATATTTTATTGAAAACGTCATCGTCAATCATATATCGAATGGCATCGATATTATAATTCTCTCAAATAATTAATTCCATCCACAAATGAATTCGCTGGGGTGTCTTTTTCTATATTCTCTCCCGCATGATTCGGCGCTCCAGCGAAAATCATCCTGTCGCCGGGACAAAAAGGGGGAGAATAACAAACGTCGATACGAATAATTAACGAAATAATGATCGTGTCATTATAACGAGCGCGGCGTGATTAAAGAGCTGCGGGGCGGGGGGGGGGAGGGAGAACGACGGGGCGGAACGACGGAGGGCGACAGGGAGTGGAGGAGGAGAGAAGGTAATCGCGAGCACACGTGCACACACGTACACTCGGCGGGCGTATTAATTGCTAATTATTAAGTATTGATTTTTTTAAATGGGGACGTGGAGCGTAGCGCCGGCTCTCCGCACCATCCCTCCGGGTCTCGGGGACGTGGAGAAGAAGGGGGAGGTGCTCGTTCGCGTCGAGTGGCTGCGGACTATTTTCCGCGGCGCGCAAAAACGCGGCGCGCGCACGCGCGATTGAATGTCAGCGCCAGTGGCGGGCGGAAGGGGAGTGGGAGCAGGAGGAGGAGGGGGGGGGGGGTCGGCGAGAAATGGCGGGAAAGCGCGAAACCGCGGGATTCGAGGCGACGCGACGGCGATACAGATACACATTCCGTGGCCGCGTGCGAGCGAGTGAGCGAGCAAGTGAGCGTCAGTGACGTCAGCGGCAACAGCGACGGTCTGGCGCGGCGCGCGTACACGTGGTATTCTCGGCGGCGCGAGAACCGGAAAAGAAATTGGCGGGCGAAGAATTAGAGAGAGCCGGCCACGATGGAGCAAGATGGCGGAGCAATTAAGAGTGCCGCGCGTCGATGCGTTTTATTCTTTTGCGCGCCGCATGGCCGCGGCGTCGTCGCGTACATCCGTCGTCGCATCGATGTAATATACGATTTTCGCGAACGCGCGCGGAGGCGGAGATACGCCGAGGGATACGCGCGCGCGGC